TCTCGTTCGTAGTTTACGTCCAAACATTAGTTCCGCCGGACTTTTTCCCGTGCTTTCTGTTGGGGTTGTACGATATGACAATAAGAACCTCGCCATTGGGTCCTTATCGTTCCAGATTGTTGTTTCCGTAAACCTTGTTTGACGGTTTGAACCGCTCGTTCCGCCAGCCCGTTGGAAGCTGGATTTTAAGGGGCAGTTCTGACATGACGTGTGTCGTTTCTCTGGACGAATTTGTTTAAAATCTTCACTGCTAAACGGAGTACCGTTATCGGTCACCAGAGTCTGTGGAATACCGAATGTGCTGAATGATGTACGCAGTCAACTTACTGTAGTCGCTGAACTGGCGTGGGACACAGGATAAATTTCGATCCACTTTGAATGTGCATCAATCATCAGTAAGAACATGCAGTTGTCGAGCGGACCAAAATAATCTACATGAATCCGCTGCCACGGTTTTTCTGGCCAACTCCAGGGACTCAGAGGAACTGGTGATGCATTTCTTTGAAACCGTTGACATACCTCACATGTCCGGACTAGTCGGTCAATATTTTCATCCACCTTAGGCCACCAAATATAATCTCTGGCTAGTGCTTTCATCCTGCAAATGCCTGGATGCACTGTTTGTACCTCCACGAGTATCTGGGGCCGTAAGTTAGGTGGAACAACGATGCGTGAGCCCCATCTTCAAGACTTAGTTCATCCTTTCGCTGAGTGAAACCCGCGACTTGGCCTTCGGTGGTTCGCGGCCATCTGTGACTTAGAAAACGTTTAATTCTAGTCAAAGTGATATCCCGTTCGGTCTCTCGACGAATATCCGAAAAGGTGACAGGCCCCTTGTTTACGTGTTGCGCTAGGTTCACTAATTCCATTGGTTTTGACACGTATTCTGGTGCATCCGGGAGAGGTAAGCGATTCATAGCATCCGCCACTTTATTTTGTGTTCCGCGAATGTATGACAGTTTGTAGTTGTAGGCAGATAGCAATAAGGCCCACATTCATTCTGCATTCGGGGTGATGCCATTTGGTTAATGCCTTTGAATTCCCCCATCAAACTGAGTAGTGGCTTGTGGTCAGTCTGTAACTCAAAAACTCTGCCCCATAGGTATTGATGAATTTTTTTTACGCTGAAGATAACAGCTATGGCTTCCCGATCTAGCTGAGCGTAATTTTTTCTGCAGGTAATAAACTTCTCGAGGCAAAAGCAATAGGTCGTTCGCTGGAGTCATGCATTCTATGTAGTAAAACAGCGCCAACTCCGCAGGGGGATGCATCACAGCGGACAATAAGAAGCCTTTGGGGGTCAAAGTGGACCAACAATTCAGATTCCTCTAGAGCTTTATTAACGGCTTTAAACGCCACTTGCTGTTCCTGTGTCCATTGCCACTTGTTATCTTTATGTAATAATTTATGCAATGGGGCCAGAACCGTAGAGCATTTTGGAATACAACGACCGTAATGTGTTAACATACCAAGGAATGATTGTAATTCACCCATATTCCTTGGGGCAGGAGCGTGCAAAATTGGGCGTAGATTTTCGTGGATGGGTCGTAGCCCATGCTTGTCCAGTTTATATCCTAGATATTGAACACTGTCTGCAAAGAACTCGCACTTCGATTTTTTAAATATCAGTCCGTTCTCACGGAGGCGTGTCAAAACTGTTTTTAGTGCCTGTATGTGTGTGTTCATCCGGCCTGGTAATCAGAATGTCATCTAGGTAACCACAAACATTTGGGATATCTTTCACCAAGTTGTCGATCACCCGCTGGAAAATCGCCGAAGCAGAATTCACATCGAATGGTAAACGATTGTACTCGAATAACCCCAAGTGCGTATTTATCGTAGTAAGCTTCCGTGATTCTTCCTGCAGTTCTATTTGGAAGTACGCGTGACTTAGGTCAGGTTNGTCAGGTTTGGGAAACTTGACTCCGCCTGCCAATGTGGGGTAGAGAAACTCAATACGCGGAATTGGGTAATGTTCCATTACGGCCTCTTTGTTGATCTTCAGTTTGTAGTCTCCACAAATCCGTATCGAGCCGTCTGGTTTCTAGACGGGTACAATCGGTGCTGCCCAGTCTGAGTGTCTCACGGCCATGATGACGTTTTGCTCCTCCTCCACTTTCGGCCTGATGGAGAACGGCAAACTGCGTGCCTTGAAAAATCGACTTTGTGCCTCTGGTCGCACCTTAAGTGTAACTTGAAAACACGCGCCATTCTAGCGAATATTCTCAGATTCTGACCATACGAGATAATTAATAACCTTAGCGTAACTTTCTTATCCATGTGAAATTATTTTGTTACCATTGAATAATGCAAAGTTCGCAAATCACTTAAAATCACACGGTGCATTCACAGTGAACTGATCATAAAAAGCATTCAAATCGGGTTTATTTCTGCAAAAACGGGCGACAGCAAGGTCCTCGTTTTTCTGGGACCGAAACTGCACACAATCTCGTGGTGGAAATTTGGAGTGTATCACAAACTACTCATTAGTAGCATAAAAACACAGGAAAATGACTTTTAGTTAAGTCAGATTCCTTTGAATCAAATGCGATTGCTTAGATATTTCTGACAGAAATGCACGCTTGGCGAGATACTTAGCAATGGTAATAATGGTGAAAGAAGTCACAGTATTCCACCTGAATAGCAAGATTAAATTCGAACATATTCACTAGCTAACAGAAATCATATTTTTCTCTTTCATTCCCTGACTGATTACCACATTCAGTCCACAATGCCAATGGCAACAATCTGTTACCTGAGGCTTCTCCCTTCGCTAATTAGCTTCATCGCATAGGTTTTTATCTTTATTGTATCACTGCTCAACCCATTGCATCTTTTCAAATACTGGTTACATCTGTGCGATCATTTATAATTTAGTGAATGAGACAGACGGCGATATGAATGAGTTACACTTATCCATGATCCCACAAGCGATGCTAACTCTGTACTGAGTCGGTAAAATAATCTATCCACAATTGTCGTAATACTGAATGTCGAACAAGAGAAAAGGTTCAGTGGCACCGCGGACGCCACTTTGCAGTATATTTCCCGTATGTGATATCACGAAAGATTGTATCAGTTTCAGTTTTTACAACCAATAACCATGCACTTTCATGCGCCGGTTTTGGTTGCTGTCTATTAGTTGCCCATTTGGATAGAAGAGCGAAATGAAGATTGGAATGTCGAAGCAAATTCAAACAGAAGATTGGGAATACATACAGAGTGGTGTTAGGAAAATAACGAGTGGATGCACGAGCGCCACTGTTTCCGACACCCAGCCATATCACTCATTGTAGCTAACCATCGGTGACCATCATCCCGAGGTCCCCAGCCATGGAGCCTAACGGGGTCTATGTGACCTAGTCTCCTGGTTAGGGTTTTCATGCTCTCATGCCAGGTCTTAGCTTGACCACCCTTTATCTTTTTCCAATCGCTACCAGCCTTGGCAAACATCGTGGAAATGAAATCTCTTACTTTTGTAAGTAACTGAAAATCCATCATGAATCGCATTGAATACACTTGATCTTTGATTATTTTTAAAACACGACACCGAATAATGAGCTTTATTTTCCCGTAAAAATCACCTTACTCAGGTCGAAGGTTTTGTCGATAAGGATCGCGAACAAATGCGGAGTGAAGTGCTTTCCTTACTGACACAAAGCAAACAACCAGCAGTTGCCAGAATGTTCCAGAACGTTCAGGCACGTCGAACTAATGTTCACGCAGTGGGCCCTAAGTTGCGAACTCCAATGGTACTAGCTGCTTTCAATTCCTCTCTACAGGGATTAATGGAAAAAATGAAGCAGTGAGTATATAATACAGTGCCATATATTCATTCATTTTGTGATTGATAATACCAGGAGCTCATAACCTTTCTGCAATGTAGCGTTGATATACGAGAAACAAAAATGAATATCCATTGCGGTCTATTGATGCATTTGAGGCTCTTCCTCTTGGTCGTCTGATATGCGTAATCTAGATTAATAGAGTAAGCATGCATTGATTGTAGCCTCCTCTGGGTTAGAGGGAACAGGTGGAATTATCCGTCATTCAGATAGGCTGTAAGAAACTCCTGTTGAGTTGAAGCTAAACCAATGGAAAATAAAAGCTTATGTAAGCTGCTTATCTTGTGCATGTCGGTCATACTGCTGCTTTTGCGAATCGAGTTTGAGGATAAAACGAGTAATGTTGCTCTTTGCCCATCAAAGTTCTTCACGTTGACTGCACCTATTCAGGGGAAATTTAAATCTATTCGGACTCATTTAGGGCTAGAGTAAATGGAGAAATAGTGATGTTAATGAATGGTTGGTTGTTCCAGAATTTCTGTACACAGCTTTCCAGGTTTCCTTTGTATTATCTGAAAATGAACGCATGTCGAAACGCCTAATCACAGGTAATTGTGCGATTGGAGTCTTTTCTCAGCGACAACGCGTGACAAAAGTGTTAGAATTGTTTAGACTGCACATTGCTTCCATGTATATTGAACTATTGCTTAAGGTTGTTTGGTAAATCAGCTCATTTCTCACCGCAGAAATCGACCACATTTCGTACGATGCATCAAGCCAAACATGTTTAAGCAGCCCATGGTTTTCGAAGACAGCATCGTTTTGGATCAGTTGCGATACACGGGCGTGTTGGAAGCTACCAGGATTCGGAAATCCGGATTTCCTGTTAGGCCAACATATCAAGACCTATTAAATCGGTAAGTGACTCTCTCCAGTGAACTCCATGACTGATATTTCGTCATTTGCAGTTGAAATGATTGTAGTGCCTGTTGTTTAACTGTGAATGATAAAACTCATTACACATCTGAGTTTTCATGAAAATTGTCTTTGCAACTTAATACTGGTTCGTAAACTCCTCATTTATGGCAGCATAAACCAATTACACTGTCTCTTCCAAAAAGAATTGTTGAAACGCTTCAAATGTTTAATAAATGACACATATGAAGTATATTGCATAAAGCAATGCCCATAATCATGAAGACTTGCACATCGTGGGTTATGGAAAATTCAACTATCATACCACCTATTGATTTTACGCTTATGTATTAAAAGGTTTTGCAATACAATGGAGATTATGAATTAGAGGCAAAGAGTAGTGTTATGCAGTTTTGTTCGTCTTCTTAAATAAATGACGTTCATCATCTTTTAGAGTCACTTGATAAGGAGAACCAAAAGCTTCTTGACTAAATATTATAAGAAAACGAAAGTACCAGAGCATGGAACTAGAAAAAGTTTCAATCAAAGTTGATGGCAACGATGAAAGAATATGAACACGAAATGTATCACAAAACAATGGAAATGTGTTTTGATGGTGGCGGTTTACGATGGAGCAGTGACAAGGCGAACGGTTGTGCGCTAAATGAGGTCAAAAATGTAAAAGAATAACACACATGGTTACAATATTCCGGAGTAATATGGGTGTTTTCTTGCCAAGGGTTAGAAGCTCAAAAGGAATGGAGTCTGTATTGTGTATCCTCTTGGGTGTACTTGAGTCAACGATCAAAATATTAGGAGATCAAGATAGAAGAGTGGAGAATTATAGGTCAAGTAATATTGTTGAAAATGTGCAACGAGTAGAAGTCCCAACTGAGCAAATGTGGTTTGCGCTTGAGGAATAAGGATGTACAGAATGTTTTTGAGCTAAGTCAACGATTCAACGTTATTTCCCCTAACATTGATAGCGTTTATGTATGAATGGGTCAATGCACTCAAATACAAATGATAACAGCTAATGGTGATGGAGACTGCACTATAATTGTTATACAAAAGTGAACGTCATCTGCAAAATCACGGAAATTATGAACAATTGGCGACAAACATTTTGTCAATGATAAGTTGCAAAGGGTTCGAGGAAAAGCAAAGAACTTTGTGGGGAACATTGCCAGCCGCATTGATGATCTAGTGCAGCTTGGCTACGAAACATCATAAAACATTACTTCCACTTTGAAGAACCCTTCAAAACCAACTTCCGCATTCCGAGCTACAGTCATTCTACACGGTTGGATAGTCTGTCCGTTAAAACGGACGGTTCGTGCGTAAAAGCATAACAACTCCAAGGTATGATCTCAAAAATTGTGGATACTCGACCAATCAGCAGACATGTAGCGATAGATCATGTGATAAAACGAAAGCGATAAGACGACGGATACCGTGTAAAAATTACCGGTGAAAAGACTAGTTTCATGATCCAAAAGGGGGAACTTAAGACAAATTCAAGAAAAGGTATCACTTTGAGGCAATAGTATGTCAAATGAAGCATGAATCCAATCCTCCAGTACTCTTTTGTAATAATAGGTCATTGGTGTTGGGGTGGATGGAAATCGCAAATCTTGGGGGACTCTTTGTAATCGCAAACACTTCCACTTTACGGCCTATATTTGTGGTTTATCTGAATGTTTTGAGTGCTTCCTCCTTGGGGAGGCGAAGAATCGAGAACAACCCTGCCGGAAATGGCAGCAAGACCGCTTAAATCATTTGGACTTCAAGTCGACCACAAACCGACCACCTAGCTAAGAAGACTTCTATCAAAACCAAAAAATAGAACAACGGAGAAGGACAAGAGTTGTGCTATCTACAAAATAAACTGAAAGAACTGCCCAAAACATTATATTGGACAAACTGGAAGAAAGCTGTCAACAAGGATCCGTGAACATCAATCGGCAGTCAGGAGGCATGACCTGCTATCGTTAATTTCCCTTCACGAGGATCAAAAAAGAAATCAGTTCAACTTCAAATCCGTGAAAATTATCGATCGAGCCAGGTGAAAACACGCCAGAGAATTTGTGGAGGCTTGGCACTCTTCAATCAACTCAATATACAGGCACATCGAACGAGATCACGTGTACACGCTAATGCAACTCAAGGATCAGATGAAGCAACAAAAATGTCGCGTCGTGACTTGAGAACGGACCAAAACCGCAAAGTGGACGAAAGAACAACACCCCTCTCACCCTCACCCCCTTCGCATCAGTTCAACGGTGAACCGAGTCGAACAAAGTGAGAACAAGAAACAGAAATATACGGTAGAGAAGAACCAACTCAAGTCATGTCATGTGTGATTACTGAATATCCAGCCTTAGAGGTGTTTAAAGCGATTCCTTGACTTGAAAAATTCAACGAATATGTTCTATTCTTTGATTTGCATTCCAATTTTTATCGATTCTTGTGTAGAAGTTTCCCTTACAAACTTTTCATGTTTCATTTGGAAGATCCGTAATTATTATAGTTAATCCATTATAACTCTTATTTTTTTTTAGATATGGATTTTTGATCGCTAAATCTCACTACAAGCAACTACGAAGCATCGAAGATCCTAAAGAAGCCGTGTGTTACCTTCTACAACATTTGGATATCTCTGTTGGGGAACATGGCAATCCACAAAAAGGGTTAGATTACGAGTTGGGAGATACAAAGCTGTTCATGCGAAATAAACTGGCCGTAGATCTGGAAGCAATCTGCACCATTATTCAGCACCGATCTGCGCGTATCATCCAAGAGGCATGGAGAAAACGAGGAGATGGTCTTTACGAAAGGGCTCGCCATAATGCAGCCACAGTAATCCAATCACACTTTCGTGGTTACCTTGCCAGGTGAGATTGGTGAAGCTGCCTTTGCAAACGGATAAGTTATTTTCGGAATTCCATGATTTGCTGTCGTTGAACTATCGTCAAACGATTATTAGCAGATAATTTTAAAGTAGTGGGTGAAATATGCACCCTATACCGGTATGGTTAATCTTCAGCTCCGATCTTAAGTAATCAGATGTGTGAATTCAAAGTATCCATTAGAAGAGGTCATAATCCACGTGGTCCATATTGTAGCCCAAACAATCCAAATGTGTGAAGTTGTTTTGAGCTCTTGAAGAAGGAAAAATTATTATTATAGAGTGAGTGTTTTTCTATTTCAGCAAATGCTTTATTGAAAATTAGAAAACTATCCTTGAACAGATGGCTCTCAAACGGATCATATGACTGTTGAAAAAAATGAGAAAAATATTTTGAATACACAATACCTTCAGCAATAAGTTATTGGTTAATCTATAGCGTTTGAAGAAATTGACAACTTGTATTTGTATACGATACCCGTACATTTTATGTCATAGATTGAATGAAAAGTTTCTTTTCGAGGCGGTTTGTCTCAAGACTCTTCCAGGCTGACCAGATATGGCTTTTCCAGATTTCAGTTTCAAACTTTACCTTATTTGAAATCCAGAAATAAATGATCCTTAATCTTCTAAAAGTGCAGCTGCAGTTGTAATCAAATATGATGGAAGATTGAGTACATAAAACAAATATGAGTAACGAACGAAAACAATAAAATTGACCTTACCGAAATCATGAGGTGAAATGACACAAGAGCACTAAATAAACTGCTTCCAATGGACAAGCCCCGATAAAGGCCGTTAACTGTCAGTTATTTTTTGCACAACCACCTCCAGCTGCATTCATTTGACTTTGAGCTTTTTTAAATATAATATAAAAGACTCAAAGTAGTGGTTTTATTATTAAACCGAAGTATTTTTCTTGTCAAATCTCAAATAAACTCAGATCAAATCTTTTTCACAGTGCTATGGACGAAAGTACCGGGAGGCATAAGGTT